TCTTTCCATTTTCGGATTTTCTGTATAACTGAATCTCTCTCTTGTTCTTCCCTGATCTTGGTAGGCGTCCAGTCGTCGTGGACCACCGTCGTTCTTAGCACTGCTGCTTCCTTGGATTCCGTTTTGTTGCAGTGAGAACACTCTGCTGGGCATGGCCTCTGGAAAGAGAATCAGCGTTTCGGTGCTAACTCCGCCCGGTGCTCAATCTTAAAATCATATTCTTGGAGTCGTTCGATCCACCTGGCTATCTGACCCTCTGATTCTTAAACTGCATCAACCATTTAAGGCGGCATGGTCGGTTCGGATTAAAAACTTCCTTCCATAGAGGTATTGATAGAAGTGCTCTACTGATTTCACTACTGCCAGAAGTTCTCTTCTCGTGACGCAATAATTTCGCTCAGTTTTGAGAGAACTTTACTAAAATATCCAAGAACTCTTTCCTGTCCTCCTTGAATCCTGAGACAACACTCCTCCAATTCCCACATTACTTGCATCTGTATCTAGATGAACTCTCCTTCTGGCAGTGGATACCCTAAAATTGGTGCTGTGATTAAATGCTTTTTTAAGGTTTCAAAGGCATTCTGGCAGTCTACATCCCAGCGTATTCTCTTGCTTCCTCTGTAAGTCGCGTTAATGGTTTTAGCGATATCTGCAAACTTCTTAATAAACCTCCGTAGTAAGTACACAGTCCCAAAAACTTCTCACTTGGTGTTTGTCAGTTGGTTTTGGCCATTCCTTAATAGAATCGATTTTTCCCTTATCCACGGCCACTCCTTCTTTACTGACTATATGACCCAGATAATTGACTTTACCTTGAAATAGCTGCACTTCTTGGGTTTAAACATCAATTGGGCAGCTTTAAGTCGATTAAAAACGTTTTCTAAATTCTTCAATGTCTTCAAATGTCTCCCCCAAGAAAATTATGTCGTCTAGATAAACTAGGCATGTTTTCCAAGATAACCCTCTCAACACATTTTCCATAAGCCTCTCAAATGTCGCAGGAGCGTTACAAAGTCCAAATGGCATAACGTTGAATTGCCATAATACCAGATCCTGTGGGAAGGCTGTCTTTTCTTTATCTACCGGTCCATTTCTACCTGCCAGTATCCAGACTTCAAATCCAAAGTAGAAAATAATTACTTCCAGCCAATGTGTCTAATGTGTCATCAATCCGAGGCAGAGATAACTATCTTTCTTGGTAACGTTGTTCAGCAAACGGTAATCCACACAGAACCTCGTTGTTCCGTCTTTCTTCTTAACCAGGACTACGGAGAGACCCATGGCTCGTAGAAGGTTCTATCACCCCGTCTTTCTTCATTTACTGAACAATCGTTTCAGCTTCCTCTCTTTTCGCCTGTGGTAATCGTCGAGCTGTTTGACGAATTGGCTTAGCATTACCAGTATCAATTCTATGCTTAACAACGGTAGTTCTTCCCGTCTTTCCTCCTTTCGGTACGAAAATATCACGATACTGCCGAAGAAATTCCCTTAATTTCCTTTTCTCAATCTGATTCAGAGACTGTCCAGCAACTGCAACCATTTGATCAAATTTGTCGTTGGAATTATCAGACGTTGTCGTCTGACGGATTATGGATGTCACAGGTACACAAGTTCCTACTTTTGTCTCTTTCTTGATGGTCACTGGTAGTCATTGACATTAATAAGTCTTACAGGAATTTCTTTAGCCGAAGTCACTAATTCTTTTCCAATTATGATTCCACGCCAACTTCGTCGTCATGATTCCAGGCTCCATCATAACAGTGTTCCTTCGTCCACAATTCCCTGTAGCCGCGCTACTATGATTGTTTCACTTCTCGCAGGCACGACTGTATCTTCTTTAAAACGCTGCTTGCATAGTGTTGTCATCATGTGGATGGAGAAATACCTCCTCGTTACCAACTTTGATTACTTTATTTTTAAAATCCAATTGGAATCCATGCGTATTCATTACGTCCATTCCTAATATAACATCCTCTTCGATGTCAGCAACTATAACAGTATGGACGAACTTTCTGCTCCAATTCCTAATTGTACCTGGATTTCTCCATGAATGTTGGCATTTTCCCTGTGGCGGTCCGAAGTCGCAACCTCGTTGGTAACAGTTTCTTTCGGCTGTTTATAACTGTCGGGCGTATAATGTTCTGGTCGCTCCAGTATCCACCAACAACGTATGCTTTTTACCATTTATTTCTCCATCTACATATACACTATCTTCACGACATTTCAAAGAAGCTATTATATCAGAGGGTCTTTGGTAAAGTTCTGGTCGAAGCTGCTCCCCTAAGGCCGACGCGTTCTGGTTTTGTCTTCGTCTTATGGTCTTCGTTTTCTTGTGTGTCATGCTTTTTATCATATTAAAGAGCTGGTCAAGTTTATCTTCATCTCCTTCCTCTTTTACAGTCCTAACTTTGCTATACCCGCCAGAAGGCCTGCGTAGCTGACTCGTATTCGAGGGCGCAGATAAACATCCATCAGCGTCTTGTGACGAGCTAATCGTAGTGTTCTCTGCATCTCATGATCACGAAGACCATCAATAAACGTTTGAACGGCCAATTTTTCCATCATGTCTTCGGGAGCTGTTGGATAAGCATATCGCACTAATCTGGCGATATCTACTTCATATTCTTGAAGAGCCTCATCTTTCTTTTGTCTTCGATTTTTGAGCTGCGACTGATATACATGCTCCAAGTGTTCGTGGCCATATCGCATATTTAACCTCTTCTTCAGTTGTTCGAAATCATCCGTCTCCTCTACGGCTATGGTCTGGAGCACATCTAAGGCATCTCCTCGAAGAGCGATAGTCAGGTTTACAGCCTTTTCTTTTTCAGACCATCCATTCGCTCTTGCAGCTGATTCGAACTGTTTCATGTAGTTGTTCCATGATGATTTTCCGTCGAAAGTTGGGACTTTGACATGAACGGAACCTCCGCTTCCTTCAAATTTCGGCCGTGTTTCCAACTTACATTTCGTCTCGTCTTCTTTTGTCTCTATGGTAATTGGATTGTTTACTCTCTCTGTTGTTCCTGTTCCCTCAATCTTCCTTTCCAACTCTTTCCATATCTTCTCTTCGAAGGCCATCATATCGCAGCAACTTGGTTTTTTAATGAAGACACTCTATCGTCGAGAGCAGACATCTCCGAAGTGACTTTAGAGATTTCCAAGGAGATGTTAGCAGAGACTTTGCTTTCTAGAGAAAAATCTCGTTAGACACTTTGTCTTCTAAAGAGCGATGTCGCCGCAAACTTGGCTACATCAGAGGAAACTTTCGAAATATCTTCAGAAACCTTGTTCTCTAATTTCGAAATCGACGAGATGACAACAGCAACCTGCTTGTCTTCAAATATATGAGTTTCCGGATCCAAACCTTCTTCTTTTAAAGCGTTCTTTAGTCGTTGGACTAACTCAGCCTTTTTTCCGGTAGAAGCTAATTCTCTGTCTTCAAGATGTCTTCTTAAATCCGTAACTGTGAGCTCATTAATTGTAGCCATATTTCACTTCTTTTTATTTAAAGTTCAAATTAGATTTATTTAAAATCCCGCTTTTTTATTTGAATATCCCACTTCTGACACCACTGTTGTATATTTATATAGTTCGAATTTATATGTCTTTATTCTAATTTATTGTCTATAATCTAATTTATTAAAACTCACGATAGCTAATTACTAATTTATTAAATAACTTTACAAATGTATTTATTTCACGTTCGTACAAGTAAACCGCGTTTACCGATCTTCTTATGACTGCCTGCCAAATAAAAATCTTTCATTTATATACACAACTGTGTCATCCAGAGAATTCGGCGGACTTCTCGAATAGTCTCGTATTTTGGTGAAGGCGCTCGACTCGTTTTTCAACCTCGAGACGTGGATGACTCACTAAAATTAGTGTCTAGAGATTTCTGGTAAACAACTGGTAGCTAAGCTCAGTATATTTTGACCTACAAATTACGAGAATCAATAAAAAAAGAATTAGTCATAAAAATATTTACAGTTCTATATGCCATAACATTTAAAATCGTAACAATATCCAGTGTCAAAAAAGTATTTCTTAAATCTCCTATAAGAATTCAACTTTATAAAGAAATGCTACCTAACATTCCTCTTCCACACAACCTATTTTAACGCGATGGGGAACATGGTTAGAAGCAGCTAATTTTTATGCAGATCATTTTGTTAAAATAAAGAACATAATTGATACGTTAACAGATGAAAGTTCCCAATCTCTTTTGGATTCTAAACAAACTTTTCAGAGTAACTTGCTTCACCAAGAACTTTCATTTATAAAATCAAATTTTAGTTTTGTTCAAAAAACAATTAGGACTCAGTTAGAATCACCAAAACTGTCATTGTTCGAAAGTACAGCATTAATAAAAGAATTTGCGTCATGTTGTTGGAAGGTTAGAGGTAATATTGGAAAAGATATTTAAAAAAATTTGAAGCTACTATGGAAAAAAATAAAGGTTACCTTATTCTTTCTGAAGTAGTCAGTGTTCTAGCTGGAAATATTTCGGAAACAATTAATTTAGAACCAAATGTTTTGGTTAGTTTGAAAAATGCTCCCGTTACATCAGTTGATGTTGAACGAAGTTTTTCCATATATAAATATATGTACTCAGAAAGACGCCACAAGTTTTTGTTAGAAAATTTTGAACACCACTTGGTCATTTATTGTTACCATAATTCTAAATAAGTTTATTCATACTTAAAAATGATGTAGTTACTTAAAATAAATGTAAATCTTAATGAATAGTAGAAAATATTTAGTTATGTACACTTTTTTTTTAAATAAAATTGTTACTATTTTTACGATTTTTTTATTTATTTGTATGCATATTTTGTAAAATATTTGCATATTTTCGGGTAAACACGTGCATATTTTCTACATTTTTATTTGCATATTTGCCGAAGTCTAATCATTACGTATACAAGACTTTCTTGTATTGGCGTCCTTATCTTAGTGCGATTAACAAATTAAAGTTGTCTTGAAGGAATGTAATACATATGTTATTTAATAGAACTGTTTATTTTGTTTTCAGGTATGTTAATGGTCTGTATACGGATTATTACAAATTTAAAGGTTTGAATATCAAGCAAAAAGCTGAACAATTGAAAGCTTTGCTGAAGGATTATGATTACGAAAAAGTTATAGAATTTTTTAGGCCTGGTGAGAAGAACACGTGAATTTCAAAACATGTTATGGAAATATATTTGTGCAAAGTTATGTGTTTTTTATTTATGAGTTCTTTATGTGTTTATGTCCCTGAGTTGTTCCATTAAAGCAATAAAAATATTTTAAGAGGTTTTTACATAGGCTTAACAAAACTTACCCATTCTTTCTTCGTAGACATAGTAGTAGTAGTATCTAGAAAAAAAGTTGACACTGAAAACGCAGTGAGAGGCACTATATCATCACTTTAAGCATTAAAACTGACCTATGCCAGTTGCTCTAAGGAAAAAAGATACTCGTTCCTGACAATCATGAAACACACCTTTCTCCAGAAGCCTTATGCCGGGTCCAGACCAAGCAGACAAAACAAAAACATTCATGTTTCGCGACAAAGTGGCGACAAATCGAAAACATTTGATGAGACATTTCTGAAACAATTTTGTTTTGTTTGCAGATTTGAAAACTTTTTCAGGTCCCGTCTCAGGTCGGTAAAGATCAAAAGGTCTGTGTTTTGTCTGTGCTTTTGACGACAAGTTGTCGACGCAGTGTGGACGCGTGTGCGTGCCAAAACGAGTTAAGCAGTAGGAGAAATAGAATGTACAATTTTTATCAAAATCAAGTGTATTTTTCTGTTGTGTAGTGAATAAATAAATACTAGTGTATTTTTCTAAACATGTCGGGGGACAAAAAGTGGAATACACAAAATACATGCAAGTTAATAGAAATTTACAGGGAGCATCCGATATTATGGGACCCTAAAAATAAAGATTATAAAAATCGCTACAAGTAAGCCGATGCATTAAAGGAAATTTCTTTATCGCTAAATGTGCCACTAAATGATGTTGAAAAAAAAAATAAAGAATGTTAACAACCAGTATGCTAGAGAAAGACGAAACTACAAGAAACTTAAAAAATCTGGGGCTGGAAACTTTTCAGTTCAAAATGGTTTGGTTATGGTAGGAATCACCTGTTGCTAAAAATCTTAAAGTGATTGCTAAAGGTTCTGTTACACTTATAGCATTTCTAAAGTTAGTATGTCTTTTTGCAACTGCAGGACCAACAAGGCATATTAGATTCTCAAAATCTTCGGTGGACATTCTTAAAAAATTTTTGAAGCTTGATCGAATTTCACACTTAGTCCAATATCATCTGCGCGCAGCTGAACTAACAATTTGTCTATCGAACAACTTTCTCGCATTTTTAGGCTTGGTCGAATCCAAAAATGTTTGGGTTTTTGTTTAGCAACCTGGGATGATGATGAGAGCAAAAAAAAAACAACTTGCGGCTAGCAATAAATCTTCAGTTTCATTTTTTTCTCGATTAAAAACGCCACATGGTTAACCAACACTAATCACAACAACAACGTCACCAACTGAATTTTGTTTTTATATTTTGTTGTTCTGGTGTGGACAGTTTGTCTCAATTTTGTTTTGTCTTTTGACGACAAATTTTGTCGCCGATTTATCGTGTTTTTGTTTCAGAATTGTGTTTTCGTTTTGTCTGCTTGGTCTGGACCCGGCATTAGAGTGCGTTTATTACGGAGACCTTGTCATCGTATCCTCGCCTAGAGCATAGCACTGACAGTGAACGCTCGCATTTAAAATAATGCATTTATTTTACCTAATATCGATAATATGATACAATCCTATGGTCCTAACCGAGGGTCAGCGCCTCGTTATGAACGCACACTTACGACAGAGCTTCTGATGCAGGAGTAGTGATGGTTATTGTTCCCTCCTCAAGCAGCCATAAGTTTCAGTCGCTGGACCTTTCAGTCCATTCACCTCTTAGAACCTACTACAACCAAGCAGTTGAAGCGTGGTTGATAAAAAATGCAGGGAAAACATTCGATATATACACAGTTTCTGAACCTCTTGGAACCGCTTACCCTCGAGCATTTACTACTATATCCTTTAATGAAGGGTGTTTTCAGATGACGATTTCTTAGGGTTCTATGTCACTGATCGCTGGATAACCTCTCCCCTTCTATAGTCGGACAATTTTCAATTAAAGGTGACTATTCTACAAATTGAACTAAACGGTAGCGGCAACCATGTAAAACGTCAGCAGTAAATTCTTACCAGGGTCATTTTATTATGTATGCTTCGCCCATGTAAATAAGTGAAAAAGTAAGATAGTCCCATAAAATTTGCCGCCGTAACAATATAAATTGGTGCCGATTAAGGAGTGTATAGTGAGACAAGTTCATTGAATAGTTTGAAACATCGGTAAACTTATCAATATTTTACTGGTCTATATATATATATATATATATATATTATATATATATATATATATTTATATATATATATATACATATATATATAAATATATATATATATATATATATATATATATATATATACCTATATATATATATATATATATATATATATATATATATATATATATATACCTATATATAATATATATATATTATATATATATATATAATATATAAATATATATATACCTATATATATATATTACTATATATATATATATATATATTTATATATTATATATTGTTGTACTTTTGAATGTCCATTAGCAATAAAAAACCGATATACAAATTTTATTACTTAAATAAAAATTAAAATTATTGATATTTCATAAAGACACGGGCATATAAATTTTCAAACCCTGTATAAGACAAAATATGTATTTTAAGTTGTTCGAAGAATTGTTCATTAGGCCTCAGAGACAAGACTTTCAAATATTATCGATAAGAAATTTAAATAAGTCGGTTATTGTGGCATGGATTACCCGGAAATAAAGTGTATATAGACAGTGTTTAAACAATAGACCGGGATTTGCGGTGGTTTTTCTCCCCGAAAGATTATATCGGTAAAAGTTTATTAACAAAAGACATTGAATTGAGAAACAGGTATCGTTTGTAGCTATTAGTAAGAAATATTTGTAAAGCAGATAGATTTAGTTAGAATAATTAAAGAATGTTGTTTTCTGGAATTACCCGAATGACGTTTTATAAAGAGAGTTGGTTGGTAACGATATACGTCACAGAGGTGGATGATTTTTTATTGGTCAATTTTTGAATGCAATGGAGGTAGTGGTTTTGGCTATGAGATAGGAGAGAGGAAAAAAGTTAGTTAGTCAGTTTTCGTCGCCCAAGAAGGAAGGAGCTTTGTGGTTTGTGTTTGTTTGAAGTCCCGAAGACGTAATTTACCGGGTGTGTTTATTTGCTGTGAAAAAGCTGATCAGTGTAAGGAACGGGGTACAGAGAGATAGAAAACCCAAAGGGTATAAGAATATTAATATCAGACGAAGCCGGAAACATTTTGAAGTTATAAACAGGCGCGGAGATTCGCTCAAAAGGAGGCCTGCATAGAATTACACGAGTTGTTGGGTTGCAGATACAAGGACAGATAGGAGAATGGTGTACGTCATCTGGACCACAATAGGAGCAGAAGCAGAGAAAGGTTTTTTTATGACGTGGCCATAGAATTACAACGGCAGAGAACGAAAGGTCAGTCAATTTTCATTAGAGCAGGAGTGTGGTTTTCATTTATTAATTAAA